TCTGATGGTGGAGATGGGCCGAAAACCCCATTGGTTTCTCAAAACTCTTTGCTGTCACTGTCCAGTTTTTTTCCCCTGGAATCGCCCCACCAGGATTTAGCACGTAGGCCTGCAGTGAGGAGACAGGAGTGTGTAGATAGTTGTTTCAGGCTTCTTAACCATCATCAGTGCGGTGTATGAAAGCCATGTGAAGTAGTTCTATGCACTGATTTGGCTGGAGGGCTTTTTGATTCCTTTTAGTCCAATCTCACCTGTATAGTCGTCTGTAGACTTGATAAATGTTAAAGTGATACTAAAAATTTTTTTGGCTTAAAATAAAAAAAAATAATAAAAAAAAAATAATATACTTATCTGCTTTGTGCAATGATGGCGCACAGACTAGTCCCTTACGTCTTCTGTGGCAGTCCCCCCACACTGTCTGCTTTTCCCTGCTCCAGGTGCCACCTTAGCAAGCCAGATGCTAAGGGGGCACCTGTGCACATGGGCTCCTGAGCTGGGCTGTGCGCATCCATAGACACACACAGTGCTAGTAAACCATGCCCCCTCTCTCTTCTCAAAGGAGTTTAACTGACAGCAGCAGAACCCTGTGTGACAGGAGCCAGGTAAGTGTAAGGGATGGGGGGATAAAACAAGTACTGGATTGTTTTTTTATTTTAGATATTAAAGGCATTTTTTTCTAAATAACAAACATGTTCTACTTTACTGTGTGCAGTGGTTTTGCACAGAACAGCCTGATCCTCTTCTGCTTGGGTCCCCTGCCGGCACTCCAGGGCCCTCCCTCCTGCCGAGTACCCCCATAGCAGCTTGCTATAGGGGCACCAGAGCAGGCTCCCTCCCCAGTCCAGTCACACACGGACCTCGTGTCTCTGCTCCGTCCCTGCTCTCTCCCCATTGGCTGTGATTGACAGTAGCGGGAGCCAAGGACTACTGCTGCTGTCTCAGCCAATGAGGAGGGTGAGACCCCGGACAGCCAATGCTGTGATGCATGTGGTTGGATCAAGAGGGGGCTCAGGTAAGTATTGGGGGGGGGGTTGGTTTGCTGCACATAGAAAGTTAAATCTTGAGCCTTTACAATCACTTTAATATATGTGCCAAACCTGTTATGATTTATTAGCAGAAACATATAAAATAAAATACGCTTTTGGCAGCAGCATGTTACCCGATACATAATCAAAGCTCCAACTGTTCTGTACATTTTAATTGGCTCTAAACGCAAAACTTTCCCTGCATTAACCACTTCAATACCGGGCACTTTTACCCCCTTCCTGCCCAGGCCAATTTTCAGGTTTCAGCACTCTCACACTTTGAATGACAATTGCACGGTCATGCAACACTACCCAAACTAAAATTTTAGAATTTTGTTCACACAACTAGAGCTTTCTTATGGTGGTATTTAATCACCGCTGGGGTTTTTATTTTTTGCTAAATTAACAAAAAAAGACTGAAAATGTTGAAAAATAAACATGTTTCTTTATTCCTGTTATAAAAGTTTGCAAATAAATAATTGTTCTTCATAAATTTAGGCCGAGATGTATTCTGCTACATGTCTTTGGTGAAAATAACCCAAATCAGTATTTATTATTTAGTCTGTAGGAAAGTTATAGAGTTCACAAACGATGGGATATATCTGAAAATTGATAAAATCCTGAAGTACTGACAGCCAATCTAATTTCTTGAGGCCCAAATGTCAGGACAGTACAGATATCCCCCAAATGTCAGATCAATACAGTTTTCCCACAAATGTCAGGACAGTACAGATATCCCCCAAATGTCAGAACAGTACAGAGATCCCCCAAATGTCAGGACAGTACAGATATCCCCCAAATGTCAGGACAGTACAGATATCCCCCAAATGTCAGAACAGTACAGATATCCCCCAAATGTCGGAACAGTACAGATATCCCCCAAATGTCAGAACGGTACAGATATCCCCCAAATGTCAGAACAGTACAGTTATCCCCCAAATGTCAGGACAGTACAGATATCCCCCAAATGTCAGGACAGTACAGATATCCCCCAAATGTCAGAACAGTACAGTTTTCCCCCAAATGTCAGGACAGTACAGATATCCCCCAAATGTCAGATCAATACAGTTTTCCCACAAATGTCAGGACAGTACAGATATCCCCCAAATGTCAGAATAGTACAGAGATCCCCCAAATGTCAGGACAGTACAGATATCCCCCAAACGTCAGAACAGTACAGATATCCCCCAAATGTCAGAACAGTACAGATATCCCCCAAATGACCCCTTTTTGCAAAGTAGACAGTCAGACATATTTCATAAGAGGCATGGCGAGTTTTTTGAAGTTGTAATTTTTTTGTCATAATATTTCAGAAAATGAAGTAATTAAAAAAATTATTTTCACAATTTTTTTTTTTTTACATACTGTCACCAGTGCAGTACAGTATCAGCATATAACTGGTATGGCGGTGATCAGGGACACTGATTGCCGACAGTACGAAAAAAAAATTGATAATTGTTTTTCAATTTTGTTTATTTTTTTATTAAATTGTTTTCTCTTTTAAGATTTTTTTTTTCATATTACACTACGACCAAAGTAGTATAATGTTATCATAGTAACATTGTACTACTTTGGGGAAGTGATCAGTATTTTTATTTATTTTTTTACACAATTTGATTGCTTATAGCAAATAATTTCTTTGCTATAAATAAGCATTTAACTGAATGAAATCGATTCATTCATGTTCTTGTTTGTTGTGATTAGCTGTGATTTGGCCACGGCTAATCACATGACACAGATGGGCTGTGATTGGCCCGGCCTGTGCATGTGATCACTGTGACCATTCACAGCTAGACAGACTTGTATACAATGGATGGCATGAAAGGAAGCCATCCATTGTATACATCTGTCATGTGACCTGCTGTGATTGGTCACAGCATGTTACATGGTACTGGCAAAGGGGCCGGTACACAGATCTGTCATCGGCCGTGTCCAAGGTACACGGCCGGTGACAGATCTCGCCACAGCGTGGCCCTGCGGGCACGCTCAAAGCGCGATCCGGGAAGGACATCAAATGACACCATCCTGGAGGGACGAGCTGTTAAAGTGGTTAAGGACACTGCCGCTGGATTCTTTAACCACTTGCCGTCTGCCTGATGTTTATAAACGGCAGGGTGGTGGCACTCCAGGGGCGGGTTGCCATTCATAAATGGCACCCACCTTTTCTAGCTGTGCGTGCTCCCTGGGAGTGCGCAGCACCGCGATCCAGTGCCCGCTGTGTCCTCCGGACACAGTGAAACACCGATCAGTGATCACATGCAAAGTAGTAAGCAAGATGTCACTTGTGACATCATTGCTTACTACGTGTGAAATCTGTGAATGATCACAGAGGTCACATGGTACAAGGCTATTCACAACAGCCTTGTACCATGTGACAAGGTGTGACCAATCACAGCTCACTCAGTATTTCTCAATGGCTGCAAGAATGCAGACAGAGAGAAAGAAAAATGATTGCTTTTACATCCTATATGGGTGTAAAAGCAATCACTGTAAAAAAAAAAAAAAAAAAAAAAAAAAAAAAAAATCTTCATTACCCCCCACGAGTAGTACAGTGTCACCATGGTGACACTGTACTGCTAGGGTGACAGTATGTAAACAAAAAAAAAAAAAACATAAATAATAATATAAAAAAAAATTAAAAAAAAATAAATTTTTTTTAAATTTTAATTTTTGGTTATAAACTAATTGGCTTATTTTTTTTTTACTAAAAATATAACGGAATACATTTTGGCCAAGATTTATGATGAAAGATTATTTATTTGCAAAATTTTATAAGAAAAACACTTTTTTTTCAAAATTTTTGGACTTTTTCATTTACATAGCAAAAAAAATAAAAATCCCAGCGGTGAATAAATACCACCAAAATAAAGCTTTATCTGTCTCAAAAAAATGCTAAAAAATTCATATGGGTACAGTGTTGCATGACCGCGCAATTGTCATTCAAAGTGTGATAGCGCTTAAAGCTGGAAATTGCCCTGGACAGGAAGGGGGTGAAAGTGTCCGGACAGGAAGTGGTTAACAAGCTGCTACTGTGTGATAAATAACCGCATGAAAATATGTGATAATTACCACAAAACAGATATTTTACCGCAAGAGTTATTTACCGTAAAATTCTTAGGGAATTGCAAAAATAATTTACTGCATGCGTTATTTTACCACATTTTTTCAGTCATTATTTAACTCTGAATTGACCCCTATGAGTGTTTGAAAAGTCAATCTGTGATTTATGGGGTTGTTCATTGTGGACAGTTTGAATTATACAACATCTTCTGGTACTCTGGTAAGCGTGGATGTGATATATTGGTGGTGATGTTTTACCCTTTTGCTGCCAAATTTCTCCCCCCCCCCCCCGATATTATATACACATTTATTTATCATAGAGATTTATATATACATCCATAGCATAGACTCCGTAATTGTAAGATCTCCTCTTCCCCCGTTTAAACGCACTCAGGCCGATGCAGCTGTGTTTGTAATTGGCCCTATGGACACATAAAGAGAAATATGGGCTCTTACACTGAGAGTGCCGAGAGTATACTTCAACTGCGCAAAACTCCAACATGTCTGCAAGGTCTGGGAGATGCAGCAGTGTCAGCTGGAAGGGTAAGGCACTGTGGGGCGCCCCCCCCAATACTACACTCTCTTTTGCAAGCCTTGTGTATGTATACAAAAACTCAATAAGTAAAAAAAAAGTAAAAAAAAAAAAAAAGGAAACAAAAACAGTTTCTAAATGCTATTATGTTATATGTGTAAAAGGATGGAGGAAGTGAAGGATCAATGAACTTGTATTCAGAATACAGTTAGTTCACATGGAACAAAGGATCCTTCATAAAGCCATTTTAGCATCAAAGAAAAAAAAATTAAATTGTACCTCCCAAAAATTAAATAAAGTTTTACTAAACCCGGACCCTGCATTCACTATATCCGGTCTCCCCGGACCCTGCATTCACTATATCTGGTCTCCCCGGACCCTGCATTCACTATATCTGGTCTCCCCGGACCCTGCATTCACTATATCTGGTCTCCCCGGACCCGCATTCACTATATCGGTCTCCCCGGACCCCGCATTCACTATATCCGGTCTCCCCGGACCCCGCATTCACTATATCCGGTCTCCCGGACCCTGCATTCACTATATCTGGTCTCCCCGAATCCTGCATTCACTATATCCGGTCTCCCCGGACCCTGCATTCACTATATCCGGTCTCCCCGGTCCCTGCATTCACTATATCTGCTCTCTCCGGACCCTGCATTCACTCTATGTGGTCTCCCCGGACCTTGCATTCACTATATCTGGTCTCCCCGGACCCTGCATTCACGGACCCTGCATTCACTATATCTGGTCTCCCCGGACCCTGCATTCACAATATCTGGTCTATCACTATATCTGGTCTCCCTGGACCCTGCATTCACTATATCTGGTCTCCCCAGACCCTGCATTCACTGTATCTTGGCCTCCCACAGTCCCACAGTACACACAACATGGAAATGCAATTACTGTAGTAAATATAAACTGCTAAATACCTTTTCTCATCAGCAGTATATAGCAGTCTTGTGAATTCTATCAGTGTCCAGCAGAGCTCTGGTTAAACCTTGTAGGAGTTTTCATTCTGATCTAGGAGGATGCAGAACCCCTGACCTATGTTTGGACAGCGCTGATTGTCCCTGTGCTGATCACATGCACTCTCCCAAGAGAAAAAAAAACCTCTCTAGCAATGCACACCAAACTGAGCATGTGCATGCCTACGGTTCAATTTTCAGATAAGTGGTGGTTGCTTGAAAAAGGGGAGGAACAGAGAAGACAGGATCAAACAGCCTTTTTACACAATGTGGAGGATTAACCCCTTAGGTTCCACAGTGAGTATAACAAGCATGCTTTACTGCATCTACAGACTGATCTTACTGTTGTGGGTTTAGTAACACTTCAACAAGAGAAACAAAACAACACCTCTTAGATTGTAAGCTCCCAGGATCAGGGCCCTCCTATCCCTCTTGTATTGAACTGTATTGTTGCTGTATTGTCTCCCGTTATAATGTACAGCGCTGAGCAAACTGTTGGCGCCATATAAATCCTCTATAATAATAATAAGGATAGGATAACATGCTGGGGGGTTTTACTGGCTGTAGAAAAAACCGTCAAACGCCAAAAACAGACGCTGTAAAAACGTCATGCCATGCAGGCACAGGGAGAACATGCAAACTCCAGGCAGGTGGTGCTGTGGCTGGGATTTGAACCAATGACCCCAGTACTGCCAGGTGGAAGTGCTAACCATTTAGCCACTGTGCTGCCTGACTTATACATCTTGCTAATGTTCTGCACTTCCTTTGCAGAATGTCTCCTAATAGCAGCGATGGCATCACCTGAGATGTACAAGATCCCCCCATCCAGCATCTTTCTGTCTCTGTTGACTGAGGAACCCCCAGACACCCCGATCAATGGAAGGCCAGCACAGGTGTCAGCACTCTTCTAGAGGGAAGTGACCTTCTGAGCTTCAGGAAATTTCAATGCACCAGTCAGGGCAACAAGAACACTTCAGTACTGTGTCTGTGGACCGCCAGTGATCAATATGCATCGATTTATGATGAATACAGAGAATTAAAGACACAAATTCTGTCTGCTCTCCCTTCTGCCATACATATAGCAGGTAAGTTTTACTATTTATTTTCATATTTATTTCAGGTACTTATATAGCGCCGTCATCTACGCAGCACTTTACATATATATTGTACATTCACATCAGTCCCTAACCCTCAAGGGGCGTACAATCTAAGGTCCCTAACTCACATTCATACATACACATATTAGGGACAATATAGACAGGAGCCAATTCACCTACCAGCATGTCTTTGGAGTGTGGGAGGAAACTGGAGGAAACCCACGCAGGCACAGGGAGAACATGGAAACTCCAGCCAAGCAATGCCATGGTTGGATGCTGAACTAACGACTCTAGTACTGCCAGGTGGAGGTGCTAACCATTTACCCACTGTGCTGCCCCCATGCTACTAGCATCCTTTATTTACTTGTTCATCAGCCGTGTACACCAAGACATGTCTAAGGCTTGATTCACACCTATGCTTTTTGCATTGTGCTTTGCATTTTTACACGTGCATGTTTGCCGCGTTTTGCCACATTTTTACCACGGTTTGTGTTTTTTATTTTAGCTTTTTTTTTTTTGTTAAAGTAGAAATTTTTTGTTGCAGGACAATGTGGTAAAAACGCTGTAAAAACACACTACATGCGTTTCAGCAACTTCTCTGTTGAACTCTATTGTAGCAAAAATGTTGCTTTTTGCATTTAAAAAAAGTCCATGACTCTTTCCAAAAATGCATCAGCAGTTAAAAAAAAGTATAGATGTGAACATGTCCCAAAGGAAACCATGTTAAATGGACTGCAGTGCGTTTCTGCAAAAAGCACTAAAAAGCGCATTGGTGTGAACCAGGGTGTAACATAAATGTAAGATTCGGGTAGTTGAGATGTGATGTGATCAGTAGAAATATGTAATTGTAGATCTAGTTTCATTCCATGTTATTACAGATCAGTGCTCACTATTCAGTCAGAGACATATGTTCACCAATTAGCATCTGAAAGGACAGAGCAGCTTCTAGGCTGGAGGTGACACCTAGATGCCAATAAAACATTCTCACCCATGTAGCCAGAGTTTGCCACCTTCTAGAAATCTAAAAGAAGAGCTCTAGTCATATCAGGTTCAAGAAACCGTAGGGGACCAGGAGAGGGCTCCCAAAGGTCTGCCAGCTCTGATTTATATCCACAGATCAGAAGAATCTATTTCATCTCTCATAAAAGCTAAAATATTAGTTGCAGAATAATTCTTTCCGATTGGACACACTGTAGGCTTCATCTATATGTAAAAGTGTATTTGTAGCCTCTGTAGAATCCCAGAGAAATGCACAAAATGGTTATATGGCGCCTGATTGTGACAGTGGAACAGTGTTTGTTACTATCGCAATCGGAATGATGTGCTGGTGTCAGAAATTCTATCCCTGACCTGGTGATCCGGACTGTTTCTGGCCCATTCAAGATTGCGCACTTCAGAACACAGAATGTCCTATGGGCTGGTACAGGAAAACCCCCCCAGGGTTGATTGGCCAAGGGCTAAAGTCCAGCCCACATCCATATTTCAATAAATTGAGGACCCTGAGATATGGACGGTGTGATTCGTATGGAGCCAGTTCCATATGACTGGCGAATTGCGGACTTTCTTTGACTTGCTCCAGTCGTAGGATAAAGCTTTATTTCTGTTTTTAATCTCTTTTTATTTCATAGTGAATAGCCAATTGTGTGTCTTTTTATCTTTTTGTATTTTCTGTAACTTTTTTCTTTTGTATATATTTTATGCACTGCCCACTTTTGAATATTAAATCATAAAATTAATAAGTGACTTCTGTGTACTAAGCTCAGGCTCATTTCCCTGGAGAGATTGTTGTATTGTAGTGTCTAAGTGCTCAGTCTAAATTCATTGCCAATCTGTATGCAATTGCACTGCGTGTTGGCAAATTGCATGCAGATTGTAAAGTAGCAGATCTGCCAGACGGAGATCTGTGTGTGTGTTTGGTGGCCCAGTGGAACAGTCTGTGGACAAACTGTTGGGTGGTGACAAGCTACCATATGTTGTGTGTATGGTGTGGGGGTGTGTGGACAGTGGAAGAATGATTAACTCCGGGGTTCTAGCTTATAGGATAGCTGGAGGAATCCTAAAAGGGTGTGCCAATTGCTAGAGTGCTCCACAACCCTTAGGCTGGCCATACACTATACAATTTTCTGTCCAATTTCGTTTAGATTAACCTTCAACTGTGTAGTGCAAGGGCCTGCTTAACTGGATACAACTGAAAGTGTTGTTTAGGTGTGACCTCATATTATAAGGTTTTTGGTAAATCTAAAGCAAAATTCTCAAGAAAATTGTATAATGTGTGGCCAGCCTTAGAGTGTATCAGATTGTATATAAGATTCATATCTGCCTGTGTGTGGTCAGCCAGCTGGATTGGAGTGGAATCTCCCTCTAGTGGTGGCCAGAGGTAGTGCGGGCTGTGAAAGTGTATCACGGCCAGTCTTATATGCTCAAAGTAAGTCCCCCTCATTACCCCAAGCTGCGGTACACGCCTCGGTTAGCTAGTCTCTGTGGGCATGCGTTTGGTCCGTGACACAGGGGTTAGCCTAATCAGTATGATGTGCAAAGTCCAGAAAGCCACAGCAACCAATCACAATTCATCTTTCAGCTAATCACAGTGGTCATGTGATCAGGAAGACCGTCCTGCACCCCTGGTGTATAGATTCACTTAAAACAGGGGTGGGCAACTGTGGCCCTCCAGCTGTTGTAGAACTACAAGTCCCATGAGGCATTGCAAAACTGACAGTTACAAGCATGACTCCCAAAGGCATGATGGGACTTGTAGTTCACTAACAGCTGGAGGGCCACAGTTGCCCACCCCTGACTTAAACAGATGCCAGGGCTGGGCAGGAAGGGGTTAAATCCCTTGTTATTAAAGGACCAGTCTACCCAAAATTGGCATTTCAGTGTTTGTAGATAGCGGAGAGTTAGAGCACCTGACAGTCTCTTCTGTCTTTTGGAGACTCTATTGGTGGGTCTGCAAACCTAGAGGAGTTCCCACCATCACTGATCGAATTCTATTTTAAACAAACATTTATCATATTGCAGCTTACCAATCCTTAGATGTAATGGCTGCATTTGTTTTCTTTTTCAGGCTTTCTTTTCCTTTGTTGTTGTTGTTTTTTTTAAAGAACAAGCTGTCCTGCAAATGTAGCTATTAGAGAGTTAAGACAAACCAATTACCACTGACAGGGGTGCTTACAATGATCAGCTTTTATTTATTTGTGTAAAACCGCTGTCTGAAAAGGAACAAAACTGTTGCTGTTACTGCTTGTGTAACTGCAGTGGTAGCTGGAGTTTGACTTAACTTTGTTAGTGTATCTAATCCTGCTAGTACGTCTAACACTCCCCTCCTCCTAGACTGACTGCTGCTGTCCAAATGTGCCTCCTGTGTGCCGTCATCCAGAGTGGGGGCGCTCTAATATAGGAGGTGTGTTACTGGCCAGATCACCAGGTGAAAACAGAGAGGCAAAAAGCCAAAAAAAAAAAGAAAACTAATGCAACCACCACATCTAAGGATTGGTAAGCTGCAATATATTACCTTTTGGTTTTGGGTTTAGTACCTCTTTCATTTAAATTATGCAGAGTGTAACAGGAGGACCTGAACCTGAAATACACAAAGATGGATGGGGACATCTAGAACTCCCGACTGAACAGGAACAGGAGTTGGGACTTCTAGCAGAGAGATCTCATTGTTGGAGTATCCAAGACAGGGGCCAACTGAACCCACTAGGCTCTACCTGTAACCAAAATATTACGTTTGAGTGGATTGGCCTTTAACCCTTTTTGCCGCCACAGGGGTTTTAGCCCCCGGTCACATCAAAGTCGATTTTGAAATCGTGCGACTTACAGTG